CCCCCCAAACCCACAAAATCAAAGTAAAGTGAAAAAAATAAAGCAAAATAAGTCAAAGCGAGGCACAGACGGCTAATTTGATCTCCGTGTTTGAATTGCTTGTTAAAGCTGCAGTTGCGGGCGGTTGGTGGGTGTTCTGGTGCGGTTTGCTCCTTCTTTCCTATCTTAATATCGTTCGTCCTAATCTCTCCTTCTCTGTGTTAGCTACTTGTAACACTAATTCTAGTCTTCGGCACTTATATGACCGTATTGTATAGCAAGTGCCGTAAAACTCTTACTAAAACTAAAAGCTGCAGTTGGAGCAATGAAGATAACGCTGCAACGGACCAGACGTGATCCGCTGCTCGTAGTTTGGAGGCTATAGAAGGACAAAGTTCTATCTTCTCAGTACTTAGTTCTGAGAAACTTGACGTAAAAAAAAAACATGTTGAGTTTCACAATATTATGTCAAACTTTTATGAACGCAATTTTCTAAATATCTTGATAACGAATCAGAATAATTTTACCATTTTGATTGAGCAGATATAATAGAGCATTTGATATTTTCTGATCTCATGGTCTTATAGTAACTCAAAACGGCAAAAAGTCTCAGATGGAACTTTGTAATTCTGAGGTAGCGATACAGCAATTTACGCGGTCAGTGGCTTTTCTATTTTTGAACGCGGTAGTCGAGATTTCCAAGAACGATTTGTTATCGTCAAGTCTGCAGTATATTATTGTCGTCGGGTTTATAAGTTGAAGGCGAGTCACGATATTCGATTTAGTGTAGTGTTTTACGCTCCACAATTTACCACACAATTCAGAATCTTTAACTCTTTAAGAACGAAGTGGACGCATGTGTCAGACCAGCAATCAGTAACAGACCAAAGGCGACGTTGCCATACATTTCGACTCAGCATACACAACCCCAAATTAATACGTCAATTTGCATATTACACAGCATGCATACATTTTTGCCTGCCTCGTTAAAGTTTCAGGTAAAGAAAACAAAATGGAAAAATCTGCAAGAAAAAAGAAAGTTGTGCCTCCATATTTGTAAAAGTACATGTATATATTACGTACTCCGAAACAGCGCGTCTTCAATGAGTTTAAAAGTGGGCTTCGTCACAAGCTGTCAGGGCCAACCCGGATTGAGAAGGATACAACTTCCTAGAACAAAGGCCAGTATGTACTCAATAAATTCCCCGCATTCGGGAATCGACCTGAGATTAGTAAGGACGATTAGTTATCGTCAAGTCTGCACTTGTCACCTAACAGAAGATTAAGTCAAGTCCGCATGATAAGAGCTTGTATTCGATCTTGAGTGAAGGAAAAAAACAACAACAACAAAAAACCACAGCAATAACAAGATAAGAGCTTGTATTCGATCTTGAGTGAAGGAAAAAAAACAACAACAAAAAAACCACAACAATAACAGCAACCAAAAAAACCCAACAAAAAACCCCACTCACATCGACACGATAATTGTCATTTAGTTAGATGGTGCTGAGACAATATAGGCAAGGCTGAAAAACCGAAATAACAGAAGGAAAGAAAAGAAAACTAACATTCTAGCGGTGCCCTCCAAACATTCACCATGCACCGTAATGGCTACTCTTCGAGTGCGGTTAATAACTGATTAAGATAACAGCAACATTGAACAGAAGGAAAAAGAGAAGCTACGTCAGCTCGCCAACCAACAACCGATTTGCTTCTGAGCCAAATGCTACATTTCAATGTTTCGCAAGATTGACTTTGAGTCAAGCTGATAGTCACACTCGACAGACAAAGCGACACGAAGAGGAGACAAAATAGCATTCCGTCGTAGCCTCCATTAGTCAGTGCAGTTGAAAAAAATAAATTATTAAGGACATAATATGATTGCCTTTATTGCACAAGAAGAGACAGTAAACGATAACAGACCACTTTCTTAACAGGACATGGAGAAAGATACGCTATCTGAAAAGGGTTGGGATGAATTTACGCCCAGGTACCGCCACTATGATCGCATGCGTCGCTATGAAAATAAAAGTGATTGTAGATTTTTGCACACTATTGACACAGATAGGAAAAGATCCAAATAGTTAAGAAGAGGTTTACGGCCCTTGACAGACAATAAGATCGTGTATAAGTACCGAAGATTAGAGGTGTTTCAGAAGAGTAACAAACACAAAAAAGGAGGAAGAGAGATAAAAGGATGTGATTCAAATACTGGAATATAAAAGTAAAAGCAAAATAAAATTATAACAACAGCATACACAACGACAACAACAACCACTAATAATCTACATAAAACCATTCATCAAGGAACAATACTAAAGTGGTTAAATGTCCATATGATGTAACAATTAAGCTATTCCATGGTACGAAATTCTACTCTCTTGTATGAGTCTACAAAAAGGGTGCCTCTTCTAAACCTACACGCGTGTGATTGTTTTCATATTCTTTTCTCAACTTTTATGGTAGCTGGGATTGTTTTTTCAGATCTTTGTGCAATAAATCATCGTCTCGTGCCATTTTGTCTGTCTGAGTTCTTTTGATTCCAAGCCAGGTTTCTATGTCCTGTTCCCATCGCCTACTAGGTCTCTCTCTTCCTCTCTTGCCTTCTATTTTTACTAGAATATCTAACTATATAATATATACACAGGAATGCAATTATTGACACGTCGATGAATTCCGCGAAGACGTGAATTTCTCACCCTTTCATAAACTCATAAAAACCTCGTTCTGACCATACATCGCCGATGACGAAGCGAAATATAGATTAGACAAGACAATGGCTCGCGAGAAAAATCCCGGTAGTAATAAAACAACGCATACTTAAGTGATATGGGCACATTACAAGCTATGGGGGTTTGCCAAGTCAATCTTTCGGGGTACAGTATAAGGAGGAAGTACAAGAGAAGTGAGTGGAAGAGAAGAAGGACAACATCCCAGAAAGGATGGACCAAAAGCTGAGAGAGAGAGAGAGAGAGAGAGAGAGAGAGAGAGAGAGAGAGA